GCTGATAGTGTTCTTTTTTGCCTGAGCAACCCACTACCACTTCAATTATAAAGCCTATTATCCTTCCATGGCTTTTTCTCCTTCCCAAAAAACAATTGCTTTTTTGGAGCTACGCATGTACCAATTACCCAGTTACAACGTATGTGCGATTGACCAAGCCATTGCAGCCAAATAGAAAGCATGACAACAGAGTTCTGCCAGCCTATTCCTCTCTGGAGTCACAAATCTGGGGTTCACTCCACTATTTGTTTGCTAATTTTCATTAAATTTGTAGAAATATAAATATCTAATGCTTCTCTTTCAAAATGGTTGAAAGTGATGATTACCTTAAAAGCTATGTTGTAAAGAGGGGCAGAGAGATAAAGTGAGTGGCAATGCTTTCTCATAAGCCCTGTTTTCTTAGGAAAACAGGCTAAAAATTAAACTACTGGTGACACAGCATATGTAAATTTCAATCATGAAGATGTTTCAAAGCGTAGTTCAAACACGGTGTTTGAATACTAAAAGTGGAATTCAAGAGAGAGGCAAATTTTAGTAATTCATACTCAAAACACTAAGGTTTATCCTTATACTGATTATTTTGACTGTTCATGTGGATGCCAGTGTCTTTTTAATGAGTACAGTTGCTTTGTAATATGTAGCGAGACGGTAGGTTAGGGTATCTGCATAATGTTTTAGAAACACTCTATTCACTTTGTTTTGATGGACTTACTATGGAATGGTTTTTATTAATTCCATTCAGAGACAAAAATGACACATTTCATTAACTGTCAGAAAGAACAGAGAAGTGGCTGGAAGAATTATCATAATCTGGTAGACAGACAAATCACTCTGTCTAAAATGCTCTCCCAGCCCCTCCTTTGGTAAACATCTTAGGCATAAGCCACCGGATTGGATGCATCTTGAGCTCATTCAGCTAGCAACACAATTTTCCCACTTCATGCCAGTTCTCTCTTGTTGATTCCGTTCACCTAGCTTTACATGGCTTAAGCGTCAGTGCCCTGATGTTCTATTTCAGATAATTTCTCCTTCATTGTCTGGAATAACTCTTTTCTGATAGGGAAGTGCTGTATTATGCGATGGTCTGCACCTGCTACTTTTCTTCCTCTAGATGTAACTTTCTTCGTTTAAGTATCTTACGAGATCCTCATCACCATGGTACCTATGTTTCCTTCTCGTGCATTAGAAGAGGTTCTTTGTCTCCAAAGTGATGCTAGATTATATTAATGCACCTGCAGCAGAGGATTTAGAAGCAGCATTTGGTCCCCCCAGCAACAGAGACAAAACGAGCAGAAGGCGGATCTGCAGCCTTAGCAACAGAAGTTGTCAGAAATTTGGGATTCTCCTTCAGGGTGCTGACCTGTAGATTTGGCCTGATGACTATTGTCTCTGAGTTCAGTTGAGATAGATACAGAAAAATTATTCACGTACATTTACTTAGAATAGATTTGCTTCAATTAAAAAAGAAAATTTTCTGCCTATCACAGGCTGAATGGAATTTTCTTAATCATGCAGATAAACCTTACTCAAATGAGTAGTCTTCATGAAATAAGATGGACTATGCAGTTGAGTAAAGTCAATTTGTGTGTGTAGACCTTCTCTTGAAGGACTACATGATGGAATCCATTCACATCAAAGTCACAGTGTTTCCCTATGATTGATGCACATTCAAATATTTTCATTAGGCAATATATCCAGGGAGAATAATAATGCTACCTCACTAACACATGTTCACATGCTTGAACAGAGAATCATAACTCCTCATTCTGTAATGTTAAGTATACATGCAAAAATTCTTTATGGTTGTATAATTACAGAACCATAGGACAAAACCCAATTCTGTAACTTTAGTGTGATTGTTCTTTTATGAACTTAGCTATGCATTGCTAGCTCAAGCCTATTTTTCTGTTCTATTATTCATACATGTTATTCTTTTATATTTGTTGTAAAATTTAAACGTTTGTATGTTAGAGAGAATACACGGTTGAAATAAAAAGTTGAAGTAAACAGCTTTATAATTTCATAACTGCCTTTAAAAAAATGTAAAGTAACTAGTGTTTTGTTGCTAGCATTCAAGAACGCATCTTGTTCTGTTTCATGTTCTGATTGCTTCTAACAGCAGCGAAGCTCTTCATAAAGAACTTCTGAGACCTGCAAAGGAAAATCACTATATAAGAACTGGATATTGTAATTGCTATTATGATGAGATAGGAATAGTAGGACAAGTTCAGCCTCATGGTGGACATGGGGGTAAAGAAAGTCCAAGTTGGACCATACAATGGCAGGAGGACCTGAGAGCATGCTGGGATGCTTTTCTCTACACCTTTACCTCAGGATCCTCAAAGTAGAGTTGCCCATTACAATTTCTTCATAGGAAAGCCTTCTTAAGAGCTTCTTGCCTTCCACTTGATTTCTCTGTTGCAGTTGAAAGGTACAATCCTACAGGTCATTGAGGTGGCATAGCTGAGTAACTGAACTATAATACAAGGGAAAGAATCAACAGATAAAGAGAGGAGTGGACAGGAACCTCCTTGATTGCATTTGCTACTACAGCAAATAGCTGTGGGTGTGTACAGCCAAAATAGTTTCATTGTCAGGTAGTGGCTGATCTATGTGGAGAAACAGAACCTGCTGTTTCTTGCAGTTACTTCCTTAACTCAAGAGTCAAAAGCGTGTGTTGTGAATATAAGGATATCAACTCTGCAAACAATTATGTGAATGTAAACATAATACCAGATGAGGAAACATCCCATTTTTTATTTGCCTTTCAGAAATCTATACAATCCCACTGTGTAAAAGTACATTAAGAATATTAGCAGGGCATGTTCAAATTCCCAAAAGCAAGGTATTAATTCAGCCCACCTGTAAAAATGCATTACAAGACAGTCTTTAATTATACACACTTGTCTTACTGCAGCCAGAGTACAGGAAAATAGTAAAAATGGGTACAATTAATTTCTGGTGTAATTCCACCACTTCTAGAAGGGAGATGAATCTTAGTTATCAAGCTCTGTGAGTAGTGAAACTCTTGGAACACTCAAGACAGAGGAGTAAGCAGAATAATGCTGTTACCAAAATGACTGTCCAGTGACTTCTCTAGGGAGACAGATGCTGGTAACGTCCAAACAGAAATCTGTGAGAACCTCAAGAGGCATTTTGCTGCTATAAAAGCAACGACTGCTGATATTGGAGTTGTCACCTATGTCACATGTGGCCAAAGACAAAACAGAGATATAAGAGATTTTTCCTACTAATTCTGTTCACAAAACACAAAAGTTTCTATTGTTAAGAGAAGAAATGTGCTGTGGCTTCACAGGTATTATTCTGCCCACATTCACCGTCTGTGATATAGATTATCAAAACCAAGATTGTGGACTTTGGCCCAGGAAAACTCTGGTCAGAAATGATGTCTGGTAATCCTGCATTGCCATATGCAATCTCTGATTGCCTGACTACCCGCTCCAGGGCAGCATTCAAAGCCTGTCTAGCAGGATGCATAATGGGGGCATATCATTATCATAGCATTTCTCTGGGGACTGTGACTAAAACTACTAAAATATGCATCACAGTATTGATATCTGATTACAGAGTTAACCATTCTCTGTACCTCACAGGAGAACATCATAGCATTTATCAGTCACATAATTACCCATTTGTCTTAATCAGTGTGAAATGTTAATAACCAGTACATAACTGGTGTTGCAGTAGAAAGCTTCAAAGCGTAATAGCCAGCTGTTAGATACCACAGCTAGAAATCACTAACTGTATGCCTTTATTATAGTTTCATCTGCCTTGAAGAGATAGTTGAGTTGCAAATACTTTGTAAAAGATAGTTATAGCATCTAGAAGACCTAGATGGAGAAGATCAGTCAGGGAGAGCTGAAACAACAGTTCAGAGGCTTAGTTTCATGTGGCGACGTAGTAGACAACTGACTGAAGCCTCTGAGGATGGAGTAGGCTATAAAAGAGGAATACTGAGGATGCAGAGGAAGGAATTCAGCTAAATGAAAACTAGTGAAAGAAAACTGGAGAATTTAGAAATCACCACCTGCAGATCAACAACTTCTGTGAGCTCTCCTAGAAATGTGAAACTAGCTTCACCCCTCAGAGTCTGCCTCATTTTAAGTAGATCAGCTCATGTTCAATCTACCACTGTGTACACACTTGCTTACAGGGGTTTAAAAACACATTTTTTATAAACTTTGTGTATAGTTGGGGCCTTCCATAAGGTAAGAGTACTTTGGCAGGTGACATGTTCTCTGGGTCTATAATCATATGTACAGCTGGGATATGTGGATGTAAAATTTCGCTACGATAACTGGTAGAAGTAGTGTATCTACAGTTCATCAGTTTTGTTGGAGAGTATGAACTCTGTCTGGACTTCTAGCATTTTATTTATACATTGCATAAGTACAAATTACTATGTTAGGTGAAAAATGTAATCCAACATGCATGCACTACAGAGAAATATTCTCCATAAGGAGAATGAATGAGTTTCTAGACCAATGGGATGAAATGCATGCCTTACCATATACTTAGCAAACTCCACTGAATCTGGAAGCACCAAAATATCAAATTCTTCACAATTCAACACCCAGTTTATAGTCGTGCTTTTAGGGATGACATATCTTCTTTTGGATGATGTGTTGATATACCAGCATCTGCAGTTTTGGGGAAGAGCAGTAGTTTCTAGGCAAGAATGGGAATCCAAGGGGATAATATTCATGTAGTCCCTCAGTTGTTGATCAGTCTTTTGACTCTACCAAAAACACAATAGATGAAAATAAGACTAAATTTACAGGTTAATTCCCTGGAAATGGTCACATCAAGACTATGGCATTCAAGTAGCAGGCTTTGCACACCTGTTGAACATCTGCAGCTAACACCTTGAGTCAAATCTGAATTCTTTACAGCTGAATTATTCACAAAGCTCTGATCCACCTTGAGCCTGGCAGCACATGTGAATTAAGAAGCTTTTTGGTAGTCCTCCAGAATTAAAAACTCAATACAAAGACCTATATGGCTCTGTGGAAACCAACCCAAGAACGGGCTGATGCCAAGTCTGAACCAATAAGCTCTGCAGTCTCCATTTGAAGCTTCTCAAGTGACTGCACACAGCAGTCTATATTATTTAGCATGCCTTTTCCTATTATTGGGATTATTTCAGCATGGTACTTGCTTGTACTTTCATTTCCAAGAATTTTAATTAAAAAGTTCAGGTTCAAGTTGGAATTTATGTTGCTGTAAATGATACACACTGAATCTGAGTGCCGTTTTTCAAGAGTCTGTTTCAAAAGGCCATTTGAGCAGTTGAAGTTTTAAAGAAAGGCTCCTGACCTTCTGGTGAACTCCAGTGGGAAACAGCAGTTCAAATGTTAGTTGCTATTTCTCCAGCATGTAGAGCCCTACAGTGTGTAAGTGTGCCAAATTTCAGTCTTCTAGTTTAATAGGAATATGCCAATTAATTATATTTCAGTAAAAGAAGAAACCATATTGTATAGCAGTTACTATAGTTCTCAGCAGTTCTCCCTGCCCAGTTCCCAGGGAGCCTAAAGGAACTTAAACAATTCAGGTGCAGTGTCAGGCCTGAGATAGATATAGATATAGATATAGATATAGATATAGATATAGATATAGATATAGATATAGATATAGATATAGATATAGATATAGATATAGATATAGATATAGATATAGATATAGATATAGATATAGATATAGATATAGATATAGATATAGATTAGAGATATAGATATAGATATAGATATAGATATAGATATAGATATAGATATAGATATAGATATAGATGTAGATGTAGATATAGATATAGATAAGCAGGAGTTGATTGTGCATATATTAGACTCTGAAACGCTATTGTACAATTACACTAAAATCAGTGTATTGCAGTAGTAATTAACTTTGAATAAAAACTTTTGTTTCACAATGTTTGAAGCAGATTAAAGATGCATCAAGCCATCCCCATGTTGTAGTCTCTAGATGTTTTTTTAGGCCACTAAAAATATTTTAGTATCTATTAGTGTTTCACAAAACAGGACTGAAAGACGTGGGGCTGTCCTAACAGAACTACAAAGAATCTACAAATATCCAGCACCTATGATTGTAATTACAGGGTAAAATACAAGCAAGTTCTTCGCAGCGTTTGTAGTAAAAGCAACTATCTTTTTGTAGGCTTATATACCTCATACCTTCAGTATTCATATTTAAAAGCAATCACTTATTGTTAGTTTCTTAGATTCTTCTTCAATGCCTTGTATTTGAACACATGGATAAAAGATGAATGGAGCCGGTTCTACGATTCACTGTATGTAAAAGAGAACTGGATTGATCCACTGCTAAGGTAAGCAGTACTTAAGTAGCCTGTGGCCACATCAAAGTTTAAATGCTGGGGAAAGCTTCCCCTGGAAGTTCAATTTGCTGTTAAAGTGTTTCTCCTATTGAAGTCACTCGGAACCCTTCTTGTCGTCATGAGACTACAGTAATCCCTTTTACTTACCCAGAGGCAGGGTTCTCTCATAGAAAAATCCCTTCACAGCTGTTGTACATGTGTTTCTCAGTGCCCCTGAGTAGATCAAACATCATACTCTGAAGACAAAAATAGAAGGTTCAAAATATCTTACAGAGTTAGACTTATGCCTCGTAAGTCACTTCAACATCTGTGTGACATTAAGTGTATGAAAAAAGATGTTTGACTTCCCTGAGTTTGGCTTTATGCACAGACCTGTTTAAGCCAATGGTCATAAAATCCCTTTTGAGCAAATCAGATAAGCATGTAAACAAGTGTTTTAAAATTATTATTTAGTTACACAATTGCAGCACCATTTAACAGTTTAAATGCTCTGAGGTGCCAATTGTGTCCACACATTGGTTAGGTGGTGGTACAGTAGCATGAGTACCCTTGCCAAACTGGAGCGTTTTCATGCGAGGGAACAGTAGCTCTGCAGCCTACTGTTTCACTCCTGTTTTTACCCAGGACAGATAAATTAGAGCTAGCATTGGTACACCTATGTGACTGCAGTCACACATCCTCCTCACTGTGGTACGGGTTAACCCAGATGATGGCAAACACTGTTAGACAAAAATATGTTACAAACAATGTCAGCTGAAAAAGAGTTTGCATCTAGTTCCAACAGTCATATCAAAGTCAACAGATTTCATTCTTTCATACTATGTAGAGTATGCCAAATTAGCAATGCATAGTATAGATTTGGCTTGCAGTACTCCAAATTCCACTCAGTTCTACAGGAACTGCAGGGATATATCTGAAGGCAGAATTTGACTCAATATATTCCAGTGTAGTATTTCTAATTATAACATACGCTTCCAATAGTATAAAGATACAGATAGAGATGTATAGAGAGACACACATATCCACGCAGTTTTTATATACACATATGCATGCAGCCAGATGCTTAATTTATTGCTAGTTTCATTAACACTAAGCTTATTGGAGCTGTCCTTCACAGCCAATTACATTCAAGGTAACGCACGTGTTTTGCATAGAAGTAGTAAATATAAGTTGTACACAAATGTTAAAGAGCATATTTGGTTATTTGGTTTAAAACTTCCTTCAAGGGGGCTCGGGATGCATTGATCAGTTTAATTAGTTCACTAGCTTAAATTCTTTTAAACATGTCTTTGTGTTCCTCTTTCTAATGTCAATGAGGTTAACATAAAGAGTCCTATTTAATTTAATGGCGCTGCATTACTTGCAGAAGTTACTTGCAAGCCTCATCGCATAATGACAGTCCTAGCTAAGGTAACAGTCACATAAGCTGTAAATTTGTACTCTATGTAATGTAAAAATTACATAATGTAAATGTAAAATGTAACATTTTACATTCCATTTTTAATGGCCTTTTACATTGTAACATGTAAATCTAAAATGTACTGTAAATTTGTATAGTCAGCTGCTTTTTATGTTCTGGGTAAGCTCCATTGCATGTGCAATACCTAAGGATAGAACGCATATAGAAGAGGAATAACTGACATGAAGCTGTCACCATAATTAGCCCTGTGATCACTTGTTTGTGTCTCACCTTGAATTCTGACTCTTCCTGCCATTCCTTGGAAGAAGTCTGAACCTTCATACAAGCCAAAATCCAAACACCGAGAAATCAAAATCGTCGTGACTGCCCCACAGGGTTCACTGAGGGTTCATTTGCTATTTCACCAAACTCCTTACACCTTTCTATTTTTTTTTATTAGAACTGCCGGTGCTATGAGATTGATTTATGTGTGCTCTGTCAGTTGGTAAAAGTGGCAATACTCAGACCACTGTTTGTTCATAGTCTCTTCATCTAAGTATGTTAAATATGCACTGAGTTTGTGACAGCTGCTTTTCTGATCCCTAGTCTGGTACTGCTGTGAAACGGACTGGCGACATCGCTGCTTATTCAGTAAAAACTGTGGCTAGTTCGCTACTAGTAGTCTGAATGGACTAGCATCTATCAAGAGGTGAAGTAACCCAGTCCAAGCAAATCATGAATACAGATTCATAGGTCAATTTTATTAAAATTGAATGGCTGAAAGCCTTACAGAATTTGCACCAATGCCAACCTCATGTACTGCATGTAAGTTTGTATGAAAGAAAGAAATGAAATAAAATTGAAAAATCTGTTTTTGTTTGAAGATGGCAGCCAAAAGTACAGCAACTGGTTGAACAGCTCACAGATAAATTAAGTAATCCTACTACCACTGTCAAGACTTCGACGGTCACTCAGCCAAAGAAATTTAATTTGACTGTACCCAAACCACGTGCCATTCCTATACCTCGGCCAATACCTGTACTGGAAAAGAGGCCACCTGTGAGTTTTTTTATGCTTTTAGAGATACTAAGTTTTATGTATGCTTATGCACAAAATCTTGATAGGGGAGTCCATAGTCTCTTTAAAAATAATGGTGGAAAATCTACAACTATTGACAGATCAACAAGGATTTTTGTAATATTCTGTGTTACTGAAGATCAGATTTCTAAAAAAAACCCAAACTCATTTCTTTCATTTCAGTGAATGTTGTGTAAGCAAATTGTAAGCCAAACAAGGGAAAGGGGAAAGGTTGGTTCCTGTAGTTGTTTTGTGACTTTTGGTGGTAGAACTATACAATAGGTACAAACTGATGACAGCATTGATACAAGTGTTTCTGGCAGTCCTTGGATTTGTAAGCTGTTTGATTTGGATAATGCAGTGAAGCAGGTAAGAAAAGAACATTCAAATGAAAATTTTTTATAAACTTAGACAGATTTTTTATAGATGAGCTCTCATTGTAATAAATGGCAAAGCAATTTCACCGGAGGTGAGACGGACTCTAGGTTTGCAGCTCCTCTTTGAGGGTGGAATTTTATTCCTTTCTATTTGTATTACTGTTGATTGTCTAAAATTCAGGTTTTTCAGATTAATTTATTGCTCACCTATAAATGAGACTATATTTATCTTTTAAATACTATGCTTTTATTTTACTCATTGTCTAAGATTGTGATTCAGTTACAGTGGTACAAATCGGAGAGGCACAACTGGTTTTAAGCTGTCTCACTGGGTTAAGGCAAACGGGATTTGGGATCAAGCTGCTATGACTAACTTAATAAAGACTCCAAAATCGTCTATATTTAAATGCAGTGAGAGGTGAGCTTGGAATTCAAAGTTTTGGGCATTATGTGCCACCTTGTATTAGCCACTTGTATTAGCAGGTTTTAAATAATACTTGTGTTGAATGCTCTCAGAAACCATTTACATCTTAGGACAGCAGCGCAATGTAATGGTAGTGTGTTATACAGTTAATGGGATTTTACATTGAAACAGCTTAATACCAGGCTCTGAAAAACTGCATTTAATAACTACTTAATCAGTATAGGAATGAGTCATATTGCTGTCATTTTAGTACCTTTATGCTGTGCAGCCCCTCTTAGAATAAATTTGCTTTAATGCGGAAGCATTTACTGAAATTCATTTATGTTGTTAGGATTATACTAAATTCAGTTTACATTCTGGCCAAGTCTGCAAATTTAAAAGCTTATGTGAATCTAAAACCATCAGTGTAGTAGTGACATATGTTGTGCTCAGTTCTGTACCTATCTCAGCAAATTAAACTTCACTTTAATTTGCCATATTGTTGCCAGTATCACCATTTCAGATCCTGAAGTGAACAGAGACTGAAAATCAGCCCAGAAGGCAAGAAAGAGTTAGCAAAGTGAGAGCAGGCCATAGTTTTGGCTGCTGTATGGAGGAGAGTTAGATGTAATTGAGAGAAATGCATGGAAATAAAGCTCTTCCAGATTACATTCCATAATCTGCTATAGAAACGTTTTCATCCATTTTCTCACAAAATTGTTAGGTTTATGAGATATCACTTCTTTCTCATGCACGTGTCAAAGAACTTGTCATGTGGCATATTAGCAGGGACTATTGTAGTCACGGTAACTACAGGCGTAGTTACTGCTCAACTTTGAAACAGCTGTATGAATACCTGTGGAGGCGTCTGGATTTTGAGCAATGACTACTGATAAGTTATTGCATCCCTCTGGTGAAATCAGTTCATTATGATTAATAGGATTATTATTTTAGGTACTTCTCTCTGCTAGGTTGCATTATATTCTATAGTAGAGACAAAACGCAAAGCAAGCTGAGACGTATCACATACCTTGAGCTTGGGAGCTGGGATAGCACTGCTGTCCTGTAACACTGAACACCTGCTGCTTTCCAGGAGAGGACTGGAGATGGGGGTTATGGCAGAAGTCAGGGTAGTTGTCTTGCTCAGTGATCTATATTGAGATGGGACTCTCCACTGTCCTTGGAAAGTTTCACTGGAGTCACATAGGCCTAGAAGGTTAGGATAATCATTCATCATCATGAACATTCATCAGAAATGAGGGGCATTAAGTGGAAAGGAAAAACACTTTAATTCTGAAATTTAATAATGAAACTTTTCACTCTAAATATTTAGTCTAAAGATTATACATTCTTATCTCTATTGTCCTTTGCACACAAGCACATGAATGCATACACAAGCATGCACATATGCGTACACACATTCATAAATACAAGTCTACAAAGAAAATGAGTGCTTAGCTTGAAGTTTGCAAAGGAAGCAAATGGAGACAGGTGCTTAAACCTGATAACATGCAAAATTATTTGGACTCATTTAACTTCCTTTGATATCTTGGCCTTGAGTTACAAATAAAATCACTTCTTTTACTATCACCTCTGTGCTAGAATAATAAGATTATGCAATTATTTTATTTTTAGATTTTCTGTAGACCAATAACGTAGTTAAAAAATAAAAAGGCTGCACTGACATGTTATTGTAACACCATTCAGCCACATTTAGTGTATTTTTTAGACGTTTTCCATATTACTTCAGCTGTGTTTCATGAGTTTAAATTAATGGGTGAATTTATTTGGCCAATAGAGAGGATTTTGTTTGCAAATATATAGACCCAACAATATATTTATCTTTATGATCTTGTTATGTATAAAAGTAGAAGCTCTTAATAAAATAGCATTGCATTAGCTTGCCCTTGTCAATCTTATGACAGTAACTTTAAAAAAAGAGTGATGACTCCCAAAGTTCAAGTGATTATTCATTTTGTTCTTCCTTAAACTTTTTGTGGTACGTACTCCCTAAAATAAATCCCTGTGGTAGCAGGATATCCAGAAAGCGTAGGTGAGCCTGACCACGGGCTGGAGAGGAAAAGCAAGGTTGGTGTCACTTACCCGCAGCCCCCTTTTTTCACATTAGGATTAAGTAGGTATAGTTTGGCCTTTTTGATCTCTCTATTGCTGAAATTTACAATTTACTTACAGTGACTTATTCATCCTCTTCTGGCAACTGGGTAATTGCTGTATTGTCTATCTGTCTGTCTGACTGATACTCATCACCATGGTATCTGAGGGCTAAATTACAAGGCTAAGATCATTTTTGAAACAGAGCTGATTGATTGAAAAGTCTCCTCCTTAAATTACTTCGAATAAGCCCAGCACTTTCTGAAGAGAGATTTGCAGCTTACACTGGCAGATGAGTACAGTTTTGCAGGTAAAGCACATGACTAGGAAGAAGAGTGAAATAAACTGATACACACTGCCTGTGCAACTCTTTGCAAATCCTCTGGGCTTTAATTTCTCCATCCGTAAAAGCATAATAAAAATTCTTAGATATTGCTGGGAAATACTTTCAGTTCTACTTCACTTAAAATGCTCACAAAAATACTTGAGCAGTCTCACCAGTGCATTTAATTGCCAGCTTCTTCTGTTTGTGCATTTGTTTTGCCCATAGATAATGATGTCAAATAGCAAAGACAGTGGAAAGTACATCAGATCCATGAGTTTTTTGAAGCATAGCTCTTTATATAGTCCAATAAAGCTAGATGGGATCCTCACATTCCCTAAACTGACCTCCAGTACAATACAGATTACAGATGTTTCCCATTAATTCCTCAATGTTTTCTGTAATTTCTAATTAAGCTAGAACATTTTTAGCAAAATAAATATTTAAGCAGATGTCCAGTACACTGTCAGACTATCTCACCCACATAGGAAGGAGACATCCGGTCTTTTTTCAGAGTTTGCTTCTGGGCAAAGTTTATTGCTCAAGCAAATATTGAAATCCCCCAGAAGTGTCAGCCGAATTCAAACCCCTGGTCTCCTGTTGATCCATATGACAGCCAGGTGATAAATCTTTCCTGGTCATTTCATCTGTAGCACTTTCAGGCATGTGACTGCTTTCCCACATCTTCGACCAATGCTAGGAGGGCTCTCTCAGTCCTCTACCTCCAAACGTTTAATCTCACCTCCAGTGGTATTCCCTTGCAAGGACATAAAGCCAGCCGTAGTAGACGAGAGCAAAGGCCCATTTTGCCCAGTGTATTTTCTCCAGCAGTGGCCCAACACAGATGTCTAGGAAGACTACGGGGACAGGACAAGAATAGCTGCTGCTTTCTGCAACTGCCTTCTCAGTCTCCCACCATTTCAGCTCAAAGACTTCCTCAGTGACAATGAAATTCCTGGGTATTCAATAAATTTCGAAGGATTTCTCTCCCCTAAACTTCCTTGGAGTCCCTGTAACTTCTCACTACCACCACACACCGTGCCAAAGAGCTCCACAGCTTAACTTTATTCAGCTGCCCTATCTGGCTGTCAGTGCTGTGGAGCTGAAGTTCATGAGATGCCAAACAGAACTTTTCCCCTTCTGGAAAATTCTTTTTCCCCTCGATAGGGCCTATAGGATTTATTATTTCGTTAGCCTTTCTTGTACCAGTTTCAGATTTTTCTTTCCTTCTGGTCTTTTGTCCAGGGCTTATATTACATTGGACAGGACTGAAAAGCCTGGGTAGTTCCAGCTAATTGGAATCTGTCCATGTCTTCTATACTGGCTCTAATAGAAAAGAATCAATATTTAAAAAATAACTGCAGCTGTTCTACAGTAAAAGTGAATTTGTTTTTTTCCTGCAAGATTGTGTTGCTTGGAATGTTTTATACCCCATACTGTGGAGACTATTGCCTTTTAATATAGGCTCCTTCAAGCACCTACAAACCTCCAAAGGAAAAAAAGCAACTAGAGGAAATCAAAACAAAAAATCGCCAAAAAGCAGAAGTAAGTGTATTATGTTCTTGTTCTAGTCTTTCCTTTCTTCTAACCTGTTTCTTCTGTAATGTTCCATTTTCACAAGTCTTCAAACTTTATCTGAAACGTATTTGGGTTTGTGCCTAATAGCTCCTGGCTCTTTCTCTGCAGTCATGAAGTATCCTCTATTGTGTTCTATCACCCTTTTCAATCTTCCTTTTTTTATTACTAATTGTCTGAGCCAAGGTCCACCTTTTATTCACTATACGAGTACTATGTGAGAAATTATGCAAGCAGCCATGTGAGGTAGCAGAAACACGATTACTTTCTTCTCTTCACAAGCTTGAAATAGTTTGATGGCTCTTTTACTCCCATAGGACATGTGGATATTTAAGGTATTCACTTAATCATTAAGGCTTCCAAATACAAAATGTGTTCAATATTTCTGTTTGTTTTCTATAGTAGCTGATAAATAACCACGTGTCATCATCCACTGTTTTAAAATATCAGCAGATTCTGACTTCTTTTTTGTGCAGACTCGATACTCTCAGCAGGCTGGGAGAGTGGGAAGTCATCATGATTTGTAAAGAAGTGGAGTACATGGTCTGTGTGTTAAGAGAGCAGGAGAAGGGAGGGCCTGGAAAAAAAAAAGAAACAGATCTAGTTATTTGATCCAAACCTTGATAGGAATCCTGATCAATGAGTTAGCTCCTATCATAGTTAAAGCAGATTGTTGTTGTCTTCTCCTTGGAGGGGAATTAATTAAATGTCACTTTCCACTTTCTTCCTCCCCACACTGCAATCACCATACCCAAGCAAATAACAGCATAAGCTTGATAAAAGGCATGCTATTTGACTCCTTTTTATCTGCACTCTCCCACCCCTGTTCTGAAAATGCCTGACTCTAGCTTTCACTAGCCAGTACAAGTGCATTTATCACTGGTCTGGGCTCTCCTCATGTCCTTGTGAAAGGGGCATTGGATTCTGTTCCTAAACTACAGTAAATGCTTTAATGTGTGATAGATTCTAGGGGGATAAACTTTTCATTCCTTTTGCTGGCCTGTCACATTACCTATGCTTGGTATTTCATTATAAAACAATACAACATTGTTTTTTATTCTTTTATTATTTCCATTTTGTGGAGAAAGCACACGCCTATTTGTGTGCTTATTTGTACGTACAAACTTCCTAGAAAAACTGGGGAGGAAAAGCAAGGTATCACAGTGCCTTACATTGGCAAAAATCTATGACAATAAAATCACTTAACTACCAGCCACATTCTTTAGTGGAGAAAATACATTAATACAAAGAACAAAGGAAAAGAAAACCACCACAGAAATAATAGTTGCAATAACAGCAGTTTTTGTCATCTCTGGAATGTTACAAAAGGCATCCAAAGCATTCACAAAGGTCAGTTCCCTAGACTGTTTGCTAAGTAAGCTGAAATGTTTGGTCCTAAAAGAAATATGAATTTAAAATGCCATTTGTTTAATAGCATTCTTGCAGAAGCTATAACTGTCATTATTAACTGTCACGCCTGAGCATCTGTGAGGAGAGAGAAGACTAGAAGCCAAACCCTAGACAGTTAGGGAAGCACTGGTGTTACGGACAGCTGCTGTCCAGAAAGCCATCAGAAAATCTAATCTGTGTTTCACAGCTTTGAGTAGAGATTACTGCTTACAACCCAAAGAAATATCCAAAACCTAGAAATGTGGCTGTCTGTGCTTCCCCCTTTAAAATGACAGGTGGAATTACTTGTAGGGGTGTGCCTCTTAGGGCAACCCTTGGTGCTCAGATCCCCTGATCATAACCTTCTCATTTAACTCAAAAACAAAGCCATTGTTTGTTAGCTGTGTGGAAACAGTTACTACCTATGGTACTGATGTGCCATAGAGAATTATGAAGCTTTTAAGTTGAATTCTGGATGAGCAACATGTTTCATATGGGCACACCTGTGAAAGGCCTGATGCCCTATGCAAAGGATACAGCCAGGCAGAGCTATGTAGAAAATCAAGACTTGCCTACTTCAAATCTTTAATCAGGAATGAAAATTCATATAAGTATTAAGTCAAGCTTTCATTCATTGGAAACAAATTAATATACTGGTCTAGGCTGCAAGGCTTTTTGAGACAGAAAATTCTTATTAGAGAATTTAAATGCAATTGCTTTAATTTTCGAATCTGCTCCTGGAAGCAAATGCTAACCAGTTCAGGTGTGCAACTATGAAGTCTCAAAAGGGAGAGGTATGCTACAAAATACTTTATTACCTAAAAATCCCCAAGTATGAAGATGAAAAATGACTGGAGTATTTATAGATAACTCTAAGTATTTGAAAATCTTTGTTTATGTGGGGTTAGGAATTATGTGCTATCATTGAGGCACCATCTCTGGAGGTATTTAAAAGACATATAGATGCAGAGCTTAGGGACATGGTTTAGTGGTGTTAGGTTAATGGTTGGACTGGATGATCTTGAAGGTTTCCTCCAACCTAAAGGATTCTATGATTCTATTTATAGCTGTACTGTCAGTTCACATCCATGTTATTGTTTTCATATGTAATATACTAACATTTGCCTCTTTGGATGCATAATGCACAACCTCCATTTCTTATACTTCTGGTGGCCCTTTATTATTCTCCTAATTTTGAGACAAGCAGTCTTCCTGTGGTACTACTCCAACAAGTCTCCAAACTGGCAATATTCCTCTAAACCCACATATTGTTTTTCCATTAACTTTTATGACACAGAGCAGCCAAGCTGAGGGAATACAGTCCCATTCACAGAATCACAGAATCACAGAATGGTAGGGTTTGGAAGGGACCTCTGGCGATCATCTAGTCCAACCCTCCTGCTGA